ATCCTGGAGCCCTTTGCGTGAAGATGTAGGCATGGGGGCAGCAGAGAGAAAACCTGTCTGAACACAGCCACCCCTAGCATGTGCTCAGGTGAGACTGTTCTCTCACAAGAACAGTGAGAATGTCGGCAGTGAGGTATACAGGTTGAAGGTATTCCCATTCGTTTACTGAGTGTTCAGCAGTGCAGTTGTGACCTCATGAGGATTTCATGTACATCTGAGGACAAAATGATAGAGTCCTTTTAAAAATAGGCAGATTGACCCTTGTGAAGCAGATACGAAGAGAATGAGATAGTTTATGGGGAAGGGCATGACTGCAGATCTTGGGGCTCTGAAGCAGAAGTTCAAACAGAAGAGTACATTCCAGGAGCAGTTAAAGATAACCAGAGTTGAAATAGATTCCTTTCCTATCTTAACTAGTAAAGTGCAGTGCCCTCTTTCTGTATACTCCATTTCTGAGCCTTGGCTTTTTTTTCCCCACTTGTGCAACACAAAAATTCTTTGTTGTCTTTCAAGCAAAGACCATTAGTCCTGGTTTCCTTTCTCTTACGATATTTTAAATATCCTGGGCTGGGAATATGGCTTAGTGGTAGAGTGCTTGCCTAGAATGCCTGATTTGATTCCCCAATACAACATAAACAGAAAAGCCAGAAGTGGCACTGTGGCTCAAGTGGTAGAGTGCTAGCCTTGAGCAAAAGCAAGACCAAAGACAGCTTCCAAGCCCTGAATTCAAGCCCTGGGACTGGCACAAAAAAAAGATATTTTAAATATCCTCCTTGTTCCTCTCAGATGCCCATGAAGAACTTGTTTCCTCCACTAGGATCAGCAGTTCAATCACCAAACCCAGTTGAAGAGCCCTTTTCTGCTTCATTTGTGTGTTAGAGCCAGATCTTACGTACATGGTCTCTTCTTTACTACTAATTTAAAGATAACACCCTGATGTTTTAGACAAACAGCAATAACAAAAAAAACCCCAACATGATGCAGAATAATCCCCTCGAAATAGTGAGTGAAGCCAAGTGGTCTTATTCACCATGGGGAGACCCAAAACTTTTTTAAACTGTCACCCTCCAGGTAGGTCTTGAATAACATTAAACTTCCTTAGTTATGCTTAATAGCAGTTAGGTTAAATAAATAGCCTGTGGTTTATATATCTATAAGGGATGCCCAAGAGATTTTTTCAGCTTTGCAATTTTTCCTTCCTCTTCTTTCTAGTAGCCCTTTTGGGTATTATTCTTTATCTTGCCTTTATTCCTTTTTTTTTGGCACTTCTGAACATGAAGTGAGAGCCTGGGCACAGTCCCTGAGCTTTTTCAGCTTGAGGCTTGCACTCAGTAACATGAGCTAGAGCTCCTCTTCCAGCTTTTTGTGATTAATTGCAGATTAGAATTCATAGACTTTCTTGCCAAGGATGTACTCTGACAGTCAGCTTCCCCTCTTAACTTTGTGTTGAAGATTTAAGTCTCTGATTGGCATGTAAAATTAACATATTTTGAATCTAGAGAAAGAGGCCAAGAAAGCATTTTTTGCTTTTCACAAGATTTACATTACTACTAAGTCCATTATGAAAAATTGATAACATTTTAGTATTTTATTTCGAGTAGTGTAAATTGCAGATCTTCAACTGGTCAGAAATAATTCAAGTGTTTTGAACCTGAAATTATGTTCTGTGCTTTTCTAGGAGTTCTTGTTGTCATAAGAATGATCTCTGTCCTGGCTAAAATTTTTGGGTATGAAGCAGTGCTGGAGGTATCACAATTCCAGACCTCAAACTTTTCTGTAGAGCTATAGTAACAACAAAAAATCAGGAGGTATTAGCACATATATACGTCTGAAGACCAATGGAACAGACTAGAACCATAATTAAACTCATATTCTTACAGTCTTCAAATCTTGTGAAAAAGTGTTTCATCAACAAATGTTGTTAAACTACATATATAAATACTGAACAGCCTGTAGCAATATCAGTTCTAAATGCACTTAGCTCTCAATGTGAGACCTGAAACTCTCAACTCACTTCTAAGGCTCACTTCTTAGATCATATTCCTCCTATAGGAAGGAGTAGGAGAAACATAAATTTTTAGGAAAGGCAGGAACTTTCTGAATAGAGTCCAAGGGATTCAGCAAATTGAAGAAGAAATTGACCAAGGGGATTACACCAAGCCAAATAATTTCTACACAGCCTTCAGAATGGGAGGAAATCTTTGACAGCTGTATGTCTGTCAAAGACTTTTGAGAGGAAATAAAAATGTCTAACAAATATATGAAGAAATGCTCAACATTTCTGTCCATAAAGAAATTTAAATCAAAACGATATTGAGATTCTCTCACTGCAACAATAGTGGGAACTATTAAGAATACAAATAATAACAGATGTTAGCAGGAATGTGGTGCGAAAAGAATCCTATTATCTTGTTCGTGGGAATGTAAACTGGTACAACCACTGAGAAAGTCAGTTTGGAGACTCCTCAAAAAACTAAATATAGAATGATTTTATTAGTCCAGTGATACCATTTTTGTGCATTTATCCAAATGATGACAGTAAGAAGTAAAGGCATTTGCACATTCATTTACATTGCTCCACTATTCACCATATCCATGTCATAGAAATAGCTCAATTGCTGTTCAATGGAAAATAGATCAAGAAAATGTGAAATATACATATAATGGAATTTTATCCATCAAGAATAATAATATTATGTCATTGATAGGAAAATTTATACACCAATAAAATCATGTTAAGTGAGGTCAGGCTCAGAGAGACCAAAAATAAATATTTTTTCTCACATGTGAAAGTGAGATCTAAATTAAAAATATATGTGTGAACAGATACAGGGTTATATGCTTATATATACAAACAGGTTAACTGAAGTATGGTAGTATACAGGGGAGTTTTCCAATGTGTTAACTTCCTTCAGCAACTAACTTACAGTTTACCAACATAAATTCCAAGAAGATAGAACATGTGTTGTTGGTGGGGTATGATCAAGAGGAGGAAGTAGATGAATGAAGTAAGAAAGGATGGACCAAAGGAGTCATAATATTCAAAATATATATGTGAAAATGGAACTAGGAAAATTGAGGGCATGAGTTAGATAAGGAGAGATGAAGACAATAATGAAAGGGGTGACATTGATCACGATGCATTTTACTCACAATCTGACAAATTGAAGGCCCTTTGTACAACTACGTAAGGATAACAATAAATAAAATAAGATGTGGAATATCAATATTTTTACATAAATATGGGAACATTTGATTCCCCCCCGACATTACACATTTGAAATTTTGGTTGGACTATTCCAGTGCCTCAGAAATTCAAGCTATCAATTACTTGATAACCTCAGCAAATATAATGAAGCATTACTTGGGATACCTGTTGAAATTTAAAAATTTTAAACTCTTAGGGACTGAAATAAGAAAGAAATACTTGGAACCATGACTCTACAAAGTTTAATCATACACATTTTTCTGTTGCCACCTATGGTCCCTGATAGTAAAGAGAATGGCTCAATGTTTAGTCCATAAAGCCTCTTAAATATTGTATAGTATATTTTAACATATCAATCTTAAGGAATGACAAGAAGAGTATGACATGATGAGACTTTTGATGAAAAGTTATTTTTGTTTTTGTGCTGGGATTTAGGCTTGAATTTAGGGCTTGGGCGATGTCCCTGTCATGTTTTTGGTATTTTTTTTTCCCTCAAGGTTAGTCCTCTACAAGGTGAGCCACAACTCTACTTCTTGAGTGTTGGTGGTTAGTTGGAGATAAGTGCCTCAACAACTTGGCTGGCTTCAAACCAGGATCCTCAGATCTCAGCCTCCTGAGAAGCTAGGATCACAGGCATGAGTCACAAATGCCTGTCATCTGCTGGCTTCTTTTTTTAGTGCTTATGCCTTTCTTACTTTGCTTATCTTATCATCTACTGAGATTTATTTTATCCCGTGTCTTCATAGGTATAACTATCTTCTATCTCTTTATGTAGTATTTTTTTTAGTGTATTCTGCCGTGTCACATTTGTAGTCATAAATTGCTTTAGTGGTTATCATTAATTGTGTTATTTATCCATTAGGCATGAATGATAGCTTTGCTAGATAGAGTAATGTAGGCTGGCACTTAATGACTTTCATCACTTGATATATGTCATTCTATACTATTCTTGCTGGTAAAGTTTGCATTGAGAATATGCTGTTATATATTTATATATATAATGTGTGTGTGTAAATCTGCTTACCAATATATGTGTCTTGGTACTTTTATACTTTTCAGTATTCTTTCCTTATTCTGCATTCTTAATGTTTAACTGTGATGTCAGTGATTCTTGTTTGTTGGATATTTTAAAAGCTTGTTTGTACCTGGATGAGTGTTTCCAAATATTTGGAATATTTTCTCCTATTTTTATTGAAAATATTTTCTATCCCTTTAACTTAAATCTGTTTCCTTCTACTACCAATCATTTCTAGGTTTGGTCTCTTTGTATCCCTACTTGATGCAATCCCATTGGTCAATTCTTTCTCCAATTTGCTGAATTTCTGGAATTCTTCAAAGTGTCTTGGCTGTCTCAATAACTTCTACTGCTTCTTCTACTCCTTTTTGTACTAGTTTCAGTATTTCAAGTTTTAAATTGAGGGCTTTGATTCATTTAGAATTGATAATAGTACAAGTTGACAAACTGAGATCCAACTTCAGGTTTTTGCATGTGGATATCCAGTTTCCCCAAACCACTTACTGAAATTGTCCTTTTTCCAGTATGTATTTTTAGATTCCTTGTGAAATATCAGATGGCTCTTTGTATGTGGGTTTATTTCTGGATATTCTAGTCTGTTTCAATGGTCTTTATTCCTATTTTTGTGCCAGTACCAAGTTATTTTTATTATAGGACCTCTATAGTAAAGTTTGAGTTTAAAATTGCTATACCTTCTTTTCTTTCCTTTTGTCCCAATTTCGTTATATCTTTAGGACCTTTTGTGGTTCTCTATGAATATTGGATTAGTTTATCGCAATGAAAAATGACATTGGGATTTTGATGGCTAGAAAGTCGCAATTGTCAATAACTGAGTTGGCAGAGTCTCTATTTTCTCGGGGAACACTAGAGAATTCCACCATCCAGGTCACTGAGAACCTGGTTTTCGACTGTCACTGGTATTTGAACAGACTTCAACCACCTGGGTCCCTGGAATCCTAAGACATTCAGAATCTAACTTGGGACACTGACGGTCCTCAGGACTACTGGGTTACTCTGAACTACAGTTCTGGGTCATCTGGGTTATTAGGTATCCAGAAGCCTGAAGTAATTAAGCCATCTAAGTAAATAAACTATCCAGGTAACTGGATGGCCTTTCTACACGCGGGCCACTCAGAGTCAAAAGAGATCAGCCAATCTGGTTAACAGGACAACTTAGGGACTTCATACATCCGGGTGACTAGGAACCGGAAGAGATTAGGCCTTCTGAGCAATTGAACAGCGGAGGGACTTCTTACTTCCGGTTGTTTGCATCCAAATGAAAATAGAACTTCCGGGTGCTCTTGGGCGGAGGGATTTTGTAAAACCAAATCACGTGGACGAAAATAGAACTTCCGGGTGCTCTTGGGCGGAGGGATTTTGTAAAACCAAATCACGTGGACCTGGACGAAGTTAGTCCGTACAGGTTGCCTGGAGCTCAAGCGTTTCAAACATCGCGGTTACCGGAAACCTGAGGGAATTCAGCCTACAGTGTTGTCTGGAGCCAAAGAGACCTCAGCCATCCAGGTAACTAGGAACCGTGGCCATCGAGGTCACTGGAATTTGAGGGCATTTTGCCAGCTGGGTACCTGAGGATTCGGAAAATTTGTCCCTCTGGGAGGATTAGCCGGCGGGAATTCGGCCATCTGAGGGACGGGGAGTCTGAGGGACCTCGGCAGTCCAGGTCACCGGGAGCTCCAGGAAACTTTACCAAACAGGTCACTGTGACCCCGAGGCAATTTGGCCATTAGGTGTTTAGACTGTCCGGTGGCTGAGAGTCTGAGAGAAATTGGGTATCTGCATCACAGAGAACCCGTTGGGCCTCAGCCAACCAATGACTTCTGCCGCTTCAGTAACAAGGCCAGTCACTGCTGAGCCTGAGGGAATTCATCTCTTTGGCTAACTGGTATCCCAAGATATTTAAGCCATCTTTGTCACTGACCAGCTTAAGAAACTCAGCCATTTAGGTCAGTGCGAAGCCGGAAGTATTTAGACAACCCAGTCACTTAGAGCCGGAAGTAACTCAGATCTGAGTAATTGTGAGCAGGAGGGAACTCGGCAATCAGTTTAACTTGGAGCTCAAGTGAAGATGCAGATGCAGGTGACTGAGTCTAGAGAAGGCAGGGATGAGGATAACTTGGAGCTTGGGGGAACTCAGAGATGAGGGTAGGAGATATGGATAGCTTTGAGATCAAGATATCTTGGAGCTCTAGGGAACTCGAGGACTGGAGTAATGCAGACATCAGGTAACTCAGAACTAAAGATATCTCAGGGATGGGGTAACTGGAGCCCAAGGGAATTTGGGAATAAGGATAACTTGGAATCTGAGGTACCTCACAGGTTCAAGAACCTGGAGCTGGATGGAGATCCAAGTATCTCAGAGATTCAAGGAATTCAAAGACCAAGACAACTCAGAGCTTGGAGACACTTGGAGATTGGATAGGAAATGTGGCTAAGATAGACATCCAGATATCTTAGAGCTGAGCAGAATTCATAGATCTGGGTAACCAGGAATGGGAATAACTCGAAACTCAAGAGAATTCAGAACTTAAAGGAATTCAAAAATTCAGGTAACTCAGATACTAGGGTAACATGGAGCCACGAAGGAACTACAAGAGAGCTTGTAGGCCTGGGAAACTTGGAGCTCAAGGAAAACCTCGGAGATTGAGGTAACTTGTAGCTCCAAGAAATTCAGAGCTCTAGGAAATTTGGAGACACCAGAAACTATGAGATCAGGGTAACTTGAAACTGGACAGAAGTAAGAGATATTTGTAATTAGAGCCTAGGGGAACTTAGAGATCCAGGGAACTTGTAGCTTGAGGGAACAGAGAGATCAAAAGTAACAGAGAGATCAGGGTAACTGGAGATTGGAATAACTCATAGCTCAAGGGAACTCTAGACCTGGGTGACCTATAACTCAGGGGAACTGGGAGCTTGAGAAAATTCAGATCTGGTAACCCAGAGATTCGGGTACTTGGAGATCCAGGTATCTCAGTAGACCTTGCCTCTTCAGGAAATTCAGCTCCATTGGGCTGGCCAGGAGTCTGAGGTCCACTTACTTGTACTTACGAAGCTGACTGATCTAAGGAAGAGTGGTCTGACTCAAGCTGAACTCATTGAATACTCTTGTGGCTCATGGAACTTTAGGGGGGGGGGAAGCTGAGGGAAAAATCACTACTAAGCCGGTGGTGCCTTTGCTGCTCAAGCTTAACAGGAACTGAAGGGTTATGCCTGCCAAGAATTTTCTGACTCAGTTAGGCAAAGCATAGTCGTATCATTTACATATGTACAAATTATAAGTGTTCTGGTCTAAATTACCCATGAGCAATGTGCAATAGGAAAGCAATCTAGTGAAATTTCTCAACAGTGTACTTGGAGGGCATTCTGTACCTTGGCTTATGTGTGATTAGCTTCAGTTCTCTAATAATTCCAAACTCTCTTTTTAAAATACCTCCAAATGACTGCCTAGGTGGTGGTGGCTCATGCTGGTAATCCCATCTTCACAGGAAACTGCAATCTGTGGATCATGGTTCAAAGCTAGCCTGTGCAGAAAAGTCCCTGAGACCCTTATCTTCAGTTAACCACACCAAAAGCCAGAAGTGGAGCTGTGGCTCAGGCAATAGAGCACTAGCCTTGAGTAGATAAAGCTCAGGGACAACACCTAGCCCCCATGTTCAAGTCCCAGGACTGATAGCCCAAAAAAATCCCCCAAATGGTGATGGAGTTGTACGTTAGTGGTAGTAGAGTGCCTGCCTAATAAGTGAAAAGCACTGAGTTCATATCTCTGTATCTCAAAAAGTTCCTAATCCTTCTCTCCTTCCCCAATAAGTTATATTCTTCTTAGCATCTTAGTTTGTTTATGGTTAATTTTTATGCCAGGCTTTTAAATTGTGTTTACATTATAGATATCTTCCTATTTATTCTATTGCATTTATGTTATGTTTAAGAATGTTTCATATAAAGTGCAAATACATAATTACATGTTGCAGATGATTTTTTTCATTTCTCATGGAGCATTTCCAAAAGAAAATTTTTTGTTGTGTTTTTGACACACGGTCTTCATATATAGTCTATACTGGCTATGTAATTTGTGATAGTCCTGTCTTAGCCTTTTGCCCAGTGTTCTGGGATTACCCTTGAATACCAGTATGCTGAGCTGATTTAACACTTTTTAATGTTCCTTTATAAAATAATTTGAAACTTTCAAAAATTGTACTGAGGGCTGGGAAGGTGACTCAGTAGTAGAATGCTTGCCTTGCATGTATGAGGCCCTGGGTTTGATTCCTCAGCACCACATAAGCAGAAAAAAGCAGAAGTGGCACTGTGGATCAAGTGGTAGAGTGCTAGCCTTGAGCTGAAGAGCTGAGGGACTGTGCCCAGGCCCAGAGCTCATGCCCCACGACCGACAAAAAAAATGTACTGAGTACCTTCATCCAGATCACCTTATTATTAACATTGTTCATAGCCATAGAAATCACCCTGAGAAATTAACAGTGATTCAGTATGAATAGCTACTCTATGCACTTTACTTGAATTTCATCACTTATTTCAATAATGCTTTTCCCCTGTCTTCCAGGATCCTTTCTGGAGTGTGTATTGTGTTTGATCTTTCACATCTGTGGCATTTTGGAAGAGTCCTGGTCAGGTACTTTTTAGAATGTATCTTGAGTTTTGGTTTGTATGATGTTCACTTATGATTAGTTTTAGATTATGTGTAAGTGGCAAGAATATCCATTTTATTGTCTTTCCATTCACCTCATGGATGAGGGAGGTATTCACACCACAGTGTTTTGCAGATGGCCAGATACATGGTATCTGAGACTACAGAGATCAAATACACAGTGACATTTACTTGGAGCCTAGGACAGAGGAAAGTACCACATAACAGGAAGAACCACACATTTCACCTTCTGGAAGAAAGCGAGCAACAGAAGCTGTGTGGGCTTCTACAAGAGTGTGAGAATGAAAAGACCTTTGATTCATAGGGGTTGGTTGACTCGAATATGGACCTGTGGGAAACATACTATAGTCAATGATAAGTAGGCACTATGCTGAAATCCACTTGATAAAAACTCTGACTAGCAGGTCACTTCCATGGGTATGTGATAAACAGGAAAACTTTAGTTTGGCTAGTCAAGCCCCTCTTAATTTTCCACAGATGTCAAAGCATGTATATTATTGGACTTTACTTTTAGATCTCAAACCACTTTAATGCAAAAGTGATGTTCCCTTCACTTTGCATGCTGTCAGGGATTAATGTGATGTTTGCTTTGAGAAAGAGTTCAGCACTGAAAATACTGTTTCACTGCAGAATTTGGTCCACTTGTTTTAGTATCCACCTAAGGGAGATCTTTCCTAAAACTCAATGTAACCGTGATTTTTTAGGGTCCTTGTTACTACTTTAATACGTGTATGTTTTATGGAAGTACCATATTTTTTCCCTTTAATAAGGTTCTGTAGTATAATTAGGTATTGTAGTACCTGTAAGATCGCTGTTTTTGCTCAGGATTGCTACAGGTGTTTTGTGTTTCCATATATGTTTCTCATTTGTTTTTCTTAATGATATGCTGGGAAGATAGTCATTGGGATTTTGCCCACAATTGCATTGACTATGTAGATCTTTTATTTAGTATAGTTATTTTCACATTGTTTCTTCTACTGATTTATGAATAAGAGAGGCCTTTCCATTTCTAGTGTCTTCTTTAATCACTTTATTTAGTGTTGTGTAGTTTTTATTGTAGAGAACTTCAACTCCTTGCTTAAGGTTATTTCTTAGCTGCATGAGACTATTGTTAATGGAACCGTTTTCCTAATTTCCTAATTTCTTTCTTACTATATCAGTTATTGGTGTGTAAAAAAAAGTATTGAAAGCCTGGCACTGGTGGCTTACACCTGTAATCCTAGCTACTCAGGTGACGGAGATCTCAGGATCATGGTTTGCAGCCAGCCCCAGAAGGAAAACTCCATGAGACTCTTATCTCCAATTAATTAAAAAAAATCCAGAAGTGGAGCTGTAGATCAAGTTGTAGAGTGCTTATGCAAAAAACCTTAGGGACAGCAGCTAGGACTTGACTTCAAGCCCCAGGAATGGCATAAAAAAAACTCCTGAATTTTTGGTGTACCATAGTTACTCTGTACATTGCTGAAGGTGTTCATTTGATTTAAGTTTTTTTTCTTCTGGAGACTTAAGAGTTGCTCAAGTATAAATTTGTATCATCTGCAAATGGGGTTTTTACTTCTTACTTTCATATTTGTATCTCCTTTCTTATATATCTCTTACTTGTCTTATGTATCTCTTACTTGATGAAGCCAGAATTTCAGAGTACTCTATTAGAGTGCTAAGAGTGAAACCTTTCAATTTTTGCTTATGTAAAATGTTATCTATAAATTTGTCATATGTTGAAATACGTCCATTTATTTGTTACTTCTTTGGGCTTTTTTTTTATCATGAATGATTGTTGGACTTTGTCAAAGGCTATTTCTGAATCAGTTTTTTAAATAATCATGTAATTTTTGTCTCTGATTCTATGTGTTTACTCTATTAATTTCTTTGCATATGTTGTATCATTCTTACATCCTTGGAATGAAACCAATTTGTTCCTGTGTATAATGTTCTTAATGTATTAGTGAATTTGGTTTCCAACTGTGTTCATTACAAAATGTTGTCTATACATTTCCTTGGTCATATCCTTATTTAGTTTTGGCATCATATTAATAGAAGCTTCTTATAATCAGTTTGGTAGCATTTCTTCATTTTCTATTCTATGAAATAGCTTGAGCATTGAAAGTTGTTCTTTTTTAAAATGTCAGTTGGAATTAATCAGTGAATCAGTCTGGTTACATGATCTTGGTTGAGAGACACTTTTTTCAGGTAATTTTTTTCATTGAGTTTTAATTCTATAACTCAGGTCATGAGTACAATGCATCTTGAGCAATGTCATCCCTCATGTTGTTCCCCTGAGAGACTATTTATTACTGTTTTAATCTACTTGCTTTACAATTAGCTTTTGCTTGCACACCTTAACTTGTTAAACTAGTGATTGACCATGGGAGCCCTAGTAGTTTTTGCTGTTTATTTTAGACAGGGAGTCTCATGGATTTTACTGCCTGAACTACTGAACTACTGAATTTGAACTACTATCCTCTAGATACCAAACTTCTTGAATAGCTTGGATTAAAGATATAAACTACCAGCACAAGGCTGGTCTTGTTTTATAATCCCATCATATGTATTTATTTTAAATTCAAGAGATAAGACCATTTATATTTAGGGCTATTAAAGAGAAGTATTTATTGATCTGATTCTTCTCTTTTTGCCTAAAATTAGAGTACTGTTTGTCCTTTCTCCCTTATTCCTCATACAGGTTTAATGGGTTACTGAATTTGTTATGCTTGATTTTCCCTCTTTTTATCTATTATGTCTATTCCTCTCAAAATTTATTGTTTTCTGACCTCTCATTTTTGTGACAAAAACTTATTGGTGTTTAGGATTTTTTTTTCTTTCGCATTGCTGCTGTGTTGGTCATGGACTGTTTTAGTTTGTGTTTATCTTGAAAATAGTCCTGTATCAATTTAAATTGGTAACTTTGCTGATATAGTAACCTTGATTGGCATTTATTTATCTTTAGACTTTGAGATGTATCCTACTCTTTCCTGGCTTCTATTTCTTCTGAGGTTCCATGTAATATAGATTTACTTTTGTAAGTTAATCAGCACTTTTATTCTTTACAGCTTTCAGTAGAAAGATATTTATGCTGTAGACTTAATATTTTGATTATAATGTGATGGGGAGAGTTTCTCTCCTGGTTATCTTTTTGGATTTATATATACATCCTGCATTTGGATTTTCATAACTTTACATTTTGGAACTTTTCTGTTATAATATCCTTGAATATATTTTCTATTCCTTTTGTTTGTGTATCAGATTCTTTCTCTACACCATGATTTTTTATGCTTCATTTCTTGATCATATCCCAGAGATTTTAAATTTCTTGTTATACACATTCATTTTTTTCTTTTTGTTGTGAGCAAATATTTCCTTTTATGTTCTTCAGTCCTTGGTGTTTTTTCTTTTGCTTACTCTAGTCTATTGTTGATTGTTTCCACTATGCCTTTCATTTGATTTATTGAGTTTTTATTTCTAATAATTGTTCTTTTTTTCAAAATCACAGAATCTTTGCTGAATTTCTCACCTAGAACTTGCATGGACTTCTTGGTTCATCAGTTAACTTGAGTTGTCTTTTTGTCACTGATTGTTTTAATAAGTTGTTTTTTAATTCTTTGGCATTTTGACCCTTTCATTATTGAGGAGTTCGGAGCTTTGATCAAAATCATATTGTGTCTTTCATTTTAGCATCTCTTGGGTCCCTGGGTTGTAATTGTCACTTCTATTTTCCAATATTGTTGAGCTGACTTTTTAGTAATCAGTTTTCCCTTGATGGGATAATCTGCATTATATCTCAAAGGAAAGACAATGAAATATCACAATAGAAACAAATGTGGCAAGGTGGTAGTGTATGCAGTCTGTGGACCCCACTAGTTGAAGGTCAGTTGTGAGTACTTTGGCTGACTGTATTTTCTTTAGAAGCTTCCCTTCTTTACACATCTGGAATTGCTGCTTGTTTCATTAAGCTTTGTTGCTTGTGAGGTAGTCATCTTTTCTACCAGAATATTGATTTATCCAATCTGTTTATACAAAGTGAGATCATGAGTAATGTAAAGAATTATTATTCTTTCTTTCTTTCTTTCTTAATTTTAATTGTGAAGATACTGTACAGAATGGTTACAATTACATGGGCAAGATAATGAGTACATTTCTTATCAAGCATTGTAAGAATTATTATTCTTTCATTCTTATTTTTCTAGCTTTTTCCTCTGATTGTTATGTAAGTTTTGTCATATTTCTATACAACCTAATCTTTTTTATGCAAACTTAGTTTCTGTTCCAGTAAGATGTTCAAATTTATCATTTGCTGATTTTCTCCTACAGATTTTTTAACCTATAACTTTGTCAGTCAAGAAAGTTTTATTCTTTGTTTCCTGGGGCTCTGGGGATCAAATCCAGGGCCTTGTGCATGCTAGGAAAGCACTATACCTCTGGCCTTTATGCCCAGCTTAAAATTATTGCTAGAAGGAGTTCTTATTGCTTACTTGGAGGATGACAATATCTTGGTATCAGTTCTTCATATATATTTACACATTTGTTCAATCCTAGAAGCTCTATACACAAATTAGTTTCCAAACTTCTGACCAATAACACGATTAGAAATAGTTAACTTTTTTATCAACTATTTTACTTTAACCTTAGAAAATATGGTTAAAGTATTATTTTCCAGAGTTGCCTGGTGGAATATTTCCTAATCAAACTAAAATTATTTCCTTGTATATAGTTATCTTGATTTATTATCATTCTTCTTCGACTTTGAGCCCTTCCCCTCTCCAATATCCTCCTCAAAGAACTAGTTTAAGGACCCCCTATTGTAAATTTGCATTCAAAATCTTGGTGTGCTCAAGTTCCTTACATTAAATGGTAAATTATTTTCACATCAAGTTCACAGATTCTCCTATAATGTAGATACCCGGTACCCATATTAGTTTGAAAGATACCGCAATTGAGGAAAACTATAAATGTTTGGGATGCATAGATTTCAATACTATACTGTAGATTCTTGTGCTTTCCCTCAAATCCTACATACGTTCTACTGAATACATGCTGGATTTCAACAAATTTGAAGTTTTTACTTTGTTATATAAGCTAAGAGCATAATTTATTCAGGGATTGCCATAACTTTTTATCTTACTTTGGAGGCAACAGTTTGGCTTTGGGGAAATATATTAGAACAAATTTAGGCATGCCAAGATTCAAAGTTCACATAACAATCTAAACAAAACTGAAGATTATGTGCACCTGACAGTGCTTCTCCATATTCATTGAACGGTGCAGTGAGTGCTTAAAAATTTAAAAGTTTTGGTTTAGAAAGCATATTGATTTTTAAGTTTATCATTATCTTTACCACACTTGGTCAAAATTAGGTATTTTAAATCATCTGTAGATTTTCTTTTCTTGCTATAGTACTCCAATTTTAACTCGGGCCTTTCACTAATTAGACAGATGTTACACTACTTCAGCCCAGGCCCCCAGCCCTGTTATATTTAGTTTTTTTAGACAGTGTCTTGTGTTTATCACTAGGCCATCTCTAGACCACAATGATCCTATCTCTGCCTCACATGTAGTCAGGATGACACACTGTACTACCAGTTTATTGAGATAGAGTCTCAAATATTTTGCAAATGACTGACCCACAGCCACAGTCTTCCCAATCCCTGCTTCCCATAGGTGGGATTACAACTGTGAGCCACCATGCCTGATATCTAGATCTTTTTCTAGTAAGTGATACAGTGTTAGTGCTATATAATTAGTTCTTACTCTGCATTGTTTAGGAAACAATGACAAATAAAAGTTAAATACACAATTTTGGCATAGTATTTCCATAGGCAGTGGGTTCAGTCCATAGGTGCAGGACCTGCAGATACAGAAAGCATCTTAAATTGTCAGTTTAGATATTCAAAACAGAATCAAAGTTGTACATAAACATGCATTCAAAGAAATGTCACTCCTTTCTCATTCTTTCAATCTTTTTCCTATGTTTCCATTTCTTTCCCCTTTCCTATTGTTTACCTATAGGGATAGTCTTTTCATCTTGCGGCCTAATCTTTCCTATACTTATATTGCACAGATGAGCATGTACAAGATTTTAAATTGCTTTCTTACATACTTCAAAGTCCAGTATCCTAAGTCCCTCCTCATATTTTTCTACTCATTTCACAGCCATCCATATATACAGATATATGTGTATATATGGATACATATATATAATATGAATGTTATTATCTAGCTGTCTAACTGAGTAAACATTGTCAGGTATTTTTGAAATTGTATTGTAGTTTAATTTAGCTTAAGGATTATTGATATCTTTTTCATGTGAACTTGTCAGGGAAGAAGATATCAAATTGGAGTAGCATTGATTGTAAGTATTTCGAATGTCTACAACTGAACCTCTCAACAAAGCTGACTGCACATCCTCACAGAGTTGTGTGCAGTCTTTATGAAATGGCATGTACTGTAAATTCCGCAATAGAATTCAGTATCCTTTTGTACTAATTGGTGAAAACATTCCTTCCTTTCTGAAAAGCAATCCCTTTCTTACAAGGAGCTTTGATCTTTGCTGCACATGAAAGAATCACAGTTCTTGGCAAACAAGGTCCAATTAGCTTTTTTTTTTTTTTTTGGTCGGTCGAAGGGCTTGAACTCTGGGCCTGGGCGCTGTCCCTCAGCTCTTCAGCTCAAGGCGAGCGCTCTACCACTTGAGCTACAGTGCCACTTCCAGTTTTCTGATAGTTTATTGGAGATAGGAGTCTCACGGTTTCTCCTGCCCGGGCTGGCTTTGAACTGCGATCCTCAGATCTCAGCCTCCTCAGTAGCTAGGATTACAGGCGTGAGCCACCAGCGCCAGGCCCAATTAGCTTTTCTTGAATGATAATCTATTTTAAAAAAACCCATTGCATACTTTTGGTGACTAAGATGAGCCTTATGGACTTTTTCTTGCCTGAGCTGGCTTTCAACCATGATCCTCAGATCTCAGCCTCCTGAGTAGCTAGGATTACAGGCATGGACCTTTAGTGCCCAGCTGTTTTTGTAAAATGTGGTTAGAACACAGTTTTTTTGCTCATTAAACACTTATGTATCATAAACAGCAATTAAAATGCTAGTATGACTGCATTTTTTTCATTTATCTTGGGTATATATAGAGGTGGGATAGGTGTGACAATGGGTAACTATGTTTAACTTTTTAAGAAACCACCAAACTTTTAACATTAGCTCTATGATTTTGATTTGCCATCAGCAATGTATGTGGCTCTTCTTTCTCTATACACGCAACAACTTTAGTTATTTGCTCTCACTTTTATTTATTTATTTTCACACTAAAGACTTGAAATCAAGGCCTTGTATTTTTTACACAAGCACTCAACCACAATCCAAACTTTCTTGCTTGCATTATTTTTCAGATCAGCTCATATATATATTGCCCCAGATTGACAGATAATCTCCTACCTCTGCCTCCTTCATAGGTGAGATTATAAGTTTGAACCATCACTTCTGGCTTATTCTTTAACTGGCCTTGAACCTTCAACCTCCTCTGTTCCTCCTAAACAGTTTGAATCACAAGCATGAGCCACGATGTCTGGCCCTACTCTCATTTTGGAAAATGACTGTTCATTTGGTACAAGATGGTATCATAGGCTAGTTTTAATTTGTATTTCCTTAATGACTTGTGTTGCTTAGCATATTTTTTATCTAGTTGTTAATCATTTCTGTGTCTTCATTCCAGCAGTGTTTATTGTCATTTGCAACTTCCATTAAATGAATTTTCCCTTTATATTGTATGTTGCTTTTATGTTCTGAATTCTAGATCCTTATCAAACAGACGATATACAGATATTTTTACCAGTTTTACAGCTAAGTATTTTCTTCAGTTCCCACACAGTTATGAGATAATTTCTAATTCTTATAGCAATAGTTCTCTAGAGATAGCTGTACAGTTTACCATGTATTTATTTAGCTAATGTTTTTATGTGGCTGTCTTTCCAGATTTCTAAATATTTCTCACTCTGATACAGGTGTATTAAGATGGAGCCACAGGAGCCAGACACACTACTTGATCTTGCTATGCAGACTGTGGTGAAAAATGAGTCTGTAGCATTACGTGCAGTTGAAGAGATACCACGAGAACTTTTTATTCCATTGTTCAATGTTGCTTTCTCTGGTGGGCATAAGAATATAGTGAAGGCAATAGTAAGTACTTGGCCCTTTCCTTGTCTCCATGTCGGAGCCTTGGAGAAGCCGGAGTCATATTATGAAATCTTGGAAGCTATGCTTGATGGTCTTCAGTTTCTTCCTGTTCACAACTCTTCTTCTTGGTAAGACTTCATATAATATAGACACGATAAATCCGTAGAGTATTATGTTGAGATCTTGTTCAGGAGAGTACTTGCAAGTCTCCATAGTTGATTGATAGATGAAGGTCTTTGTGATACTATGGGTGCAACATTTGTGATCACCTTAAGAACATTAATCTCTTACAAATATGATATAAACTACTGGTGATTGAAGATACAACTGATGTATATAGATGATAGATATTATTACATAGAATAGGAACATGAACACTAACACTGGGAAAGACAAAATGAGAATAGAATGTAAAGCAACTAACAGAGGCTGTGTGATTTTTGTGGGAAAGATTTGTTGCCACCTGGTATTTGGAGTAAACCCCAAGAATATAGGTATTTGTCTCTGCTTCTCATTACTGATTCTGCTGGTTTCCATTAACACACACTACCTCTCATATCTTTCATCTCCTTTTCCTACAGGGTTCCCAAACTGAGGATTCTAGATTTAAGGCAGAATGCAGACTGTAAGACCACATGTTTCAGCTTTTTGAAAAAATTCCCTTTCTGTAATCATGCTTGTACTTACTCTCAGAACTCTATTATGAAAATACAAGAAGCCAATAATGGTCTTTCAACTTCAGAGCCTCAAGTATCCAGACAATCCATGGAATTATTAGTAGACCTTTATCTTGATGGTAGCAGGAGTGCAAGACATTTTCATTCTATTCTTCATGGCAAAATTGAGCAGAGCTTGGGGTCTCTGCACCTCTGTTGTAGAGATTTACAGATTTCTAAGTCACATGACAACAAAAATACCCTGAAGTTGTTGGATATGAGGTGTATTGAGCACTTGGAAGTGGATCAGACTTATCTGAGTGAAGTCTGCATGATTTTCCCTCAGATGGTCAACTTGAGAAGCCTTAATTTATCTAAAATCATATTTAGATCTTATAAAAGGAAAAACTTCAAAATGTTTCTGGCCCATCTTAGCCAGCTAAATGATCTTCAGGAGCTCTGCCTATCTTGCTTCCCCCTCAGAAACCAGCTACATAAACTACTCAGGTAAGGGCTTGGAGTGGTATTCTGGATGATGTGAGCTGTCAGCTAATTCAGGAAGGAAACCATTCTTGCACATTCCCTAGTTCCTTGTAACATATATTTACTTTCTCTCAGTTTGGACACTGCTAGGGAATCTGTAACTGGCCATTCTAGGGAATGCCTTTCTCATAGTGAGAAGAAAGGCAAGATTAGCAATATGCATTATACTCATTCTTTCAGTCAACCATATATAGATAGCATAACAGACTTAAAAACATATTGGTAAAAAAGACAGAGGAAAGGGACATTTGCAGTTGGAGAAAGTTTCATTCTTATAGCACTGATGCACATAGTCATGATATGACCATAGTAGTTAATACTGTCAGAGCCTTTCATTCATGGGTTTTCCCAAAGGCTTAGAGTCAAATGGAGAAATTGTTATGTAAGGATTATTCAAAGAGAATCTTCTGTAGCGTTCCTTCCCTGACTTCTCTCTATAAAATAAGTGAATTAGACCCCCACAATGTACTATGGTGTAAGTATTAATTTTTTTCATTTAATCTTTACTATCCTGTAAACTAATTGATAGTTTACATTTAGAAGATGTTGAAGCAACTTTGTTTGTGGAAAATAACTTTTTATGGTGGCAACTCTATTACTGATATTAGAGCCCACATTGTTAACTGTCATTTCAATGTATTACCAAGTGATTTAAGACTCCTTGTCTGGATCAGTTACTCATGCTTTAAAAATAATTTTCCTTTTGTCTCTACAGAGTTCTGTCACCGCAATTGGCTTACTTGCATCTGAATTTTTGTGACCTGACTAACAAAGACTTTATTTACTTCTCTGAAAGCCTTAAGGCCCGGCACTTAAAGCTATTGAATCTCAGTAAAAACCAGATCTCTTGGGAAGATTCTCTACCATTACGGATTCTTCTGGACAATTTATCTGGTACCCTGCAGCAGCTAGAGATGAATAATTGCCTTATTACAGATTTAATTCTCTCTGATTTTATACCATCCCTAAGACACTGTTCCCACCTCCGAGTCTTAAGCTTGGCCTGTAATCCCATTACCATGCCTGTTCTCAGGAGCCTTTTGCAGAACCTAACACCCTTGACAGAGCTAAAGTATGTGATTTATCCCGTTCCTGTACATTGCTATGAACAGTGGCATTTGCGCAACAGTTTGGACGAAGAGAAGCTGGCTGAAGTAAAGTCAGAAATAAGGTCAATGCTCTGGGCAGCACAACGTACTGATATGAAGTGGAGCACATCATATAAGTGATTTTCACAGTGTGAAGGGTTCATTGAACAATGGTGTGTAGTCAGTATTCTTTCCTGAAGCCCTTTACCATATGTAAAACACTGCTGTTCTCTGAAACTAGTATTAGGAAGATTGGATGTATGTCTGGGATATATAAAAGATAATAAAGGGCTTTCAAAAATCCTTTGAGTCTCTTGTCTACTACTCTACATCTGCCTTCTTCTTACTGACCATTGTACTGAGTAAGTGATATGGGCTGACCCATTCATGTTATACCTTTTCCTTGCCAACATTGACAGGCTTACTTCTGTATAATTGACACTAGTCAGGACAATTGAAAACTTTTCCTGGATGTTTTGATAGAGTGGTGGCAATTCAAGTCATTAATTTCACTCTAAGGTATACTACACTCTGAGCTTTACTGTTAAGTTGATTATAAAAGCTAACCTGCTATTAAAAGAGGAAAGCTATGCCCATCTACCTATGGATATCTAAAACTGAATGCTGCTGCATCCTTTTCTAGGTCAAGAGCACTGGGATTAAGACTTTATTTCATACACATTAACCAAGGATCTCTTATTAGGTACCACTCTAGGTGTTAAAGAGTGAGAAGGTAAGGTCCCTAATTCAAGTCTATCAGAGTATAAATGTTCCCATGCTTTATGTGTTCCTCCTTTCTTGGACCCCTTTTGACAGTGATTTCACTTCCTACGCACAAGACTTTTACCCCATTTCATGTTCTTTTAAATAGAATTGGCCTCCATACTGTTGAATAATTCAACACTCAGGGCATAGTTTAGATAATTCTTTCTCAGAAGGGTTTTCTCTTGTTTCCTCTGTTAGCCAACTTTCTGTCATAGTGCAAAAATACCCAAGACAATTAACTTACAAGGAGGAATTACTTAGTTCCCACTGTGAGGGTTTTCAGTCACTTGTTGCTTGATTCCATCATGTTTGATCCTGTAGTGAGGCAGAGCTCATGACAGAACAGAACTGTGCACTTAATGGTCCCCAGGAAGGAGAAAAAAGGAGAGGAGCTAGAGTTTGAATAGCCCTTTCAAAGGCATGCCTCCAGTGACCTAGTTCCTCCAAGTAGGACTCAACCTCAAAGTTGCCACCACTTCCCAACATCACTATACTTTATATACTGTTGTAAGGTGAGAAATCAGAGAAGACACGTTTTGGGAGGTCAAATCATGGAGTCTATGGGAACACTAGCAGTCTGCAGGCAGCCAATTGTTACAGAGGCCTGAAGCCCGCAAATTATATATATAATTGTAAAAAAATACAGAGGGGTTATAGTTACATGAGTTGGGTAATGAGTACATTTCCTATTGAGCATTGTTACCTCCTCCTTTGTTTCTCCCCTACCATCCATGCTTCCCTCCCCAACTCCTCCCCTTACTCGGACACTGTAAAGTTCGTTTTCAACATAGTGCCCTGTATATCTCATCATCACAATGGGTCAACCTGCATCCCCACTTAAGCATTCCACTATATCCCTTCCCCTCCCCAAATTACAAAAATGTATATACAAGATGCAGATCACCGGAATCAAATACAGTGAAAACGGGTTATACCATGGGGGAAGAACATACAAAAGAAGCAAAAGAATCCCATAGTGCATTATAAGTACATTATAAACAATAGCAAGAAAAAAAACACTTGTGTCCCTGTCTTGGGGTACATTTCGCTTAACACCATCTTATATGGTCATATGTACATAGCCTTTGACTTTCTCTGCTTGTCCTAGACATGTACTAGTCATTGCAAACAAGGGAAACCATGGACCTATGTTTCTTTGGGCCTGGCTTACTTCACTTAATATAATTTTTTTCCAAGTCTTTCCATTTCCTAACAAATAGGGCAAATATTCTTAACACAAGAAACAGACTAGAGAGGAAAGAACAAAAACAATACCAAAAAAAAACAATTCAGCTCCAATGGTGAGCTGAAATGGGATCCATGGTGATGAAAACAGCCAGGAGTCAGGAGACAGGACAGGAACATGGAGACACAGGACATAGCATAATCATCCCTGAGCTGGTCCAGACCTAAATAGGGCCAGCTCAGGTGGCACAGTCACAGGAAAACTCCCAGTCCCAGGAACTGGACTGAGGGTTAGTAACCTATCAGTCAAGTGCCCTCCCCTGTCTCCAGAGATTCCATTATGCTCATCATCTGAGAGGGAGAGGGGGCTTCACCTTCTCCCACCATGAAGACAAGATGCCAGACCTTAAATGGACATACTCATGTATCACCAGAACTTTTCCATCTAGGGAAGAGAGGCCTCAACCTTCCATATAGGGTATACTTAGAGGCTATTCAGAGGCTGGTGATTCAAGCCATTTAGGGAGTTAATTAAGGCAGAATCAGAGCGTTCTCCATATGCAAAGCTTTCCTAAGGCTATGGCATCTGCATTTCTCTGAAGCAGAGCCCTCCTAGCTGACCTTGAGCTAAGTATCTACATTCAATGAATAGCCTCTCTCACCTGTAGGCTTTTCAACACTGGGTGAATAATTCCCAGAGGCACCAGGAAAGCTGTAAGATATTACTTAGTCTCAGCCTCCTTACTTCAGTACCAAGCCTTTATAATTGAGCGTTTGGGATATTTAAGGTCTAAGCCATAACAATTCCCTTATTGTCCCTTGTTCTGTTATTAAATGCTCTGAATACATCTTATTTATATCCTTCAGATTATAAAGCATTTTATATGTACTTGCTGCTTCTTTTTTTTTTTTTTTTTACTTCTACTGGAGTTGCCAGTTTGCTATGATACATGCACTAACTACATGTGTCTACTGAATTCTAGAAATCTGGTCACTAACTTGTGTGATTGCCTATCAATGTAAAAGGCATTTTGACTATCCAAGACTTAATAATAAACAAATGATATGGAATAACTAACAACTTACATTGCTTACATATTGAAATGATCATTGCTGGCTGGTGGCTGACTTTCTGGGGCCTGGCTGTTTGTTCTGCCTGTCTGTCTGCATCTCAAGGCCCTCCAGACCTGGCCTGACCATAAGCATCAACCCCCATACCATAAATTTCCCGATGATTTCCTGATGTCTATGCAGCTCCCATGCAGGTTCCCTCCCTATAACTACTTCCCTCGCTTAATGACAGCTACTGCTTTCTGTCCTGATGGAGATAGCCTGCTAGTCTTGCTGGCATTAAACTCCTCTCTGCTTGGATGTGTGTGGTGTGTTTATCCAGTTGAAACATGTAACAATCATGTAGTGTTTCAAAGGCATGATGAAAACACATACAATTTTGTGTTCTTGTCAACTGTTGAAATTCTAACATCATTTAAATGACTTTGTAACAAAAATAACTAAAAATAAGTACTAAATGGTTGATGTTGTTTTCTTGTTGAAATTAAGACTATTTTTATTTTGGTGCCACTCCTGGGTCTTGAACTCAGTGCCTGTGCACTCTCCCTGAGCTTTTGTGCTCAAGGCCAGTGCTCTACCACTTAAGCTGCAGCTCCTCTGTGTTTTTTGTTTTTTGTTTGGTCATGGGCCTGAACTCTGGGCCTGGGCGCTATCCCTCAGCTCTTCAGCTCAAGGCTAGCACTCTACCACTTGAGCCACAGCATCCACTTCTGGCTTTTTCTGCTTATGTAGTGCTGAGGAATCGAACCCAGGGCCTAATGCATGCAAGGCGAGCACTCTATCACTGAGCCACCTTCCCAGCCCAAGCCACAGCTCTATGTGTGGCTTTTTGGTAGTAAATTGTAGATAAGAGGGTCAGGGATACTCCTACCTGGGGCTGAATTTGAAACATGATCCTCAGATCTTAACTAAGATTACAGTTGTGAGCCATCAGTGCCCAGTACAGATTGCATTTTTTTTATGTTTCATGAGACACTTAATTTTTTTTTCAGATTGCATTTTTTAAAAGATGAAAGTAAGTAAATCTTTTATTTCCCTCCCAGAGCTGAGGACTGAGTATTATGCCCACCTTTGGTCCTCTGCTCCACCCATACCTGAGCTTCTCTCTTTCCTGGAGTTCCTGCCCTACAGCTGGCTACTCCCTATCTCTGACCAGACCCTCCTGAGAACTCACCTACCTCACTTCCTGCTACCTGGATAGAGACGGATGTCATGTGCTCCCTCTTCAGGAAAATATGGCTCCTCTAATAAACCTTATAATAATCTTTCTCCTGTGCCTGCTTGCCTCTGAATGGTTCCTTGGGATGGACATGAAGGATCCTTTCAAGAACCTAACTCAGGGCCTTGACTCACCAGGATCTTCCATTGAGCTAAATCTCCAACTCAGTAAATCTTTTTTTTTTTGGTCAGTCATAGGGCTTGAACTCTGCATCTGGACATTGTCCTTCAGCTCTTCAGCTCAAGGCAAGTACTCTACCACTTGAGCTGCAGTACCACTTCTGGTTTTCTCATGGTTTCTTAGAGATAAGGGTCTCATGGCCTTTCCTGTCTGGGCTGGCTTTCAACCGAGATCCTCAGATATCAGCCTCCTGAGTAGCTAGGATTACAGGCATGAGCCACTGGTGCCCAGCAGTAAATCATTTTTAATGTAGAAATTATAGCATATTTTTTCCAGACTGAGTCAAAACACTGTTGAAAAGCTGACCATAAGAATCTACCTCTGCAATATCTGTTACTCAGTGAAGAGAGGTAGGAAGATTGACATCCAAGTCTAACTTTAGAGAAAAGTTATACCCTTCTTTAGAGAAAATAATAATGATTAATAAAGTAAAAGGTTACTTTCATTAACAATGATGACAGTTTCCAGTACCAACTTAGAAAAAAACATATGAACAAAGCAATTATTTAATAGTTATGCCTAATATAACAAGTCAGATACATGAAAATTTAAAATGCAAAAATTAATACTTGCTTCATAGGTTTTATATTTCTAGTGTGTTGAAATGACAATGCACTGAATTTCAAAGACATTGAAATGGGAAGCTGAATCTTCATAGTTCTT